ATGCCTATAAACCCAATGCTTGGGAAGCTAGTGGGCAGGAGGAAATTGTGTTCCAGGCCAGTGTGGTCTGTATGAGGCCCTGTCTCAAACAAGCATGAGTGGGACACATTGCTGCTACCCCTCTGCAGCTCCTTAGGTGATGAGGGGCCTGAGGTGAAGCCAAACCGCTCCCTGCTGTCGGTGCTCAGGGAGAACCCAAGAGGCCTATGGACAGGGAAGATGACTGAGGAGGAAGTTAAGGGTAGGAAGGAGTGGCTCTTGCCAATAGTCAAGGAGCCATATACACAGCTGTCTGTCTCTGTAAGAGAGTAGAGGGGCCCCAGCTCCCCCCTGGAGAAACAGGTGCTTAACTCTCAGTACCACAAGAAGCTTCTGGAAAGCTAAAGGATCATGTTTGTTTTTCAACTACACACACTGACACTTCTCTGTTTAGAGAAGTAAATTTGGTGAGAGCAGGGAAAGGAAGGGCAGTGGCTAAGCCAAAAGGCAGGGAGGCTGGTCAGGGCATGACACACTGCATGAAACAGCAGGGGTCTGATGGTTTGATGATCTCGGTGTCCCACCATCAGGACCCACTGATTGATTAGATATGGGGAGTAGGAGCTGGAGAGGGCAGGCATCTCCAAGTCTGTCTGTGGCACTGGGTGGATGTAGGAGCTATTGGCTTGGAGGGGCCTCTGAGTGTCAAGTTGGGCTATAATGGCTGGCATAATAGCCCAGCTGTCAACAGAGGGATACATCTTGAGCTGTGCAGTACCTATTGACTACACAACATAGTTGGATATAGACACAGCTAGGCCTTGAGGGCTTCCCCAAGGATACTACTTCAAGGGGAGAAAGACTGGGTATCCAGTAAGGGGAGAAGTTACCCTCAAGGCCTTTTAGGATGGCCATACATGCTCTGTGACTTAGAGAGGCTGATGATCTGGGTCACAGGATGGGCTATGGAGAGAGGACTGGGGTAGGGTTCAGGGACAGGGACACTGACGAGACTGTGACTATGAAGGAGGTAATACTGGGGAATTGGTCAAATGTGGCCTCTTCACTTGGACCCATCAAGAGTTCTCACACATTTGCATTCTTACAACTGGAGAAAATAACACAAGAGCCAAGGAGAAAGCCTTGAACTTTCAAAGTTGATATTCTGAAGACAATGGTGTGTGTGGTCTCTGGACACAGTGCTCAGGACTGTGAGGGTGTCTCCTTTGTTTTTTTGCCCTGGTGCTTTGAGGGCTGATATCAAAGCTTTTTCCTCTCATTTTGTTTGTAGTTTGTAGTTTTGTAGCAATGCAGGTTCAGTCCTCTTCCTGGGAGTGTGTATCAGTGTCTTCAGGCTAACATGGCTTTTTAAAAATAGCTAACAAAGGGGATTTTTTTTTTGAGACAAAGGCATCCGTGCCTTCAAAGGAAAGAGTTGCTGCAGGATCCTGTCTGTGCTCTTGTTGGATGTGACATGGTGGTCCAGTCAAGCTAAGCCCCTCCCTCTCTGTAGGTGCCCCCATCTTGCCTTCTCTGCCTCTGAGACCCCATGAAAATAGATGCCCATGGATAATTAACACGTGACTTCTCTCTCTGACTCATCCCAGACTCAAATCTTGAGAGCTGGACCCCAATCCCATTTCCTGGCACACCACAGAACCTGAGGTCCAAGAGCCTTATGACAGCCAAACGGTCTGGTCCAATGGAAGCAGCTTTATGCCGCATTTAGCATTCATGACATTCTTTCTCGTTGATGCTGCCTTTTCCCTTGCTGTATGAGGCACAGAGGACTGGGACATGCAAGCATGAAGACATGACTTTCATCTTTACAAAAAGCCATGGTGGTACTCATCTGTTACCTTAACACTGGGGAGGCAGAGAGCAGACAGGTTATCTTAAACCTAAGATTCCCCCTGCCCCAGCACCCCAAGTGCTTCAGTTCTGGGTGTGCACTACTGGGCATGAGCAGAATGTCAGAAACCTCTGTGTGTGCTCCTTTCTTGTTGTAGCCACTTGTTGTAGCCACTGTGAAGCACTTTCACGACAGACTGTATTTCCTCAAGTCTCAAGAATGGATTTTGGGTCCCAACTGAAGACATGATCACTTCCCTGTTTGTGTCATGTCTGTACTGACAGAGCCACCTGACCCTCTAATATTCTGCTGCTAGCCACGACAATCAAGACCCAAAGTTCCTGGAAGTCAAGAGTGGCCTTCAGGTGCTTGCTGTACCTGGGCCAGCTACTGCCATGGTCACAGATGAACACTAGCCTGTACACTGTTCTTCATGTCAGAAAGCCTAGGCTGGTTCTCTGTAGTTACTCCAGGACACTGCTTAGCCAGCTGTAGGTTGTTGATACCATAGGAAGCTCTGGGATGAGAGAGGAATGAACTGTTGCCAAAGTAAACCCCAGGGGCTCTGCAAGCTCTCTTTGATTTGACATGCTATTTGTGGACCAGAATACATATTTATTCTTTATTTCCCCCAGTAAAACACAGTGTGCCTTGGAAAACAGATTAGTGCTTGCTTATTTTTCCGTGCTGTTTTTCATTGCATACCTGGCAGTAAAGTGATGTTTGAAGATAACACGATGAGGCTGTTTGTTGAACTGTGTTTCTACCTGAGGAAAAAATTAATGTTATGAAAGTAATAACTACTCTTTGGATAGGGATTTTCTTTCTTCTCAGCAAGCAAGCAGTTAAAAAAGGAAAGAGAGAGAGACAGAGAGAGACAGAGAGAGACAGAGAGAGAGAGAGAGAGAGAGAGAGAGAGAGAGAGAGAGAGAGAACCCAGAATGGCTGAGGTGACAGGGCACTTGTTGGCACCTGGAACAGGGGTGATGGAGCTCAGGTAGTCCTGATCCAGAGTGCAAATGATGTCTCTGAGCCCAGCATTCCTCTTGGCTTCCTGCTACTGTGTGCTGTGGGCAGGCTTACCTCTGTGGTAAAAAAAAAAAAAAAAGAAAGAAAGAAAGCAGGCACAGGTACAGGCAGCAGCTCCCATTTAGCCATGAAATAAACACTAGGCCTTGTTATGTGCTGAATGCTATTCTAGAGACTCAGCCTCCATCATCTTGGGTTGAACTGTCTTTGCTCTATAGGAATTCAAATCCTAGGAAGCTGATAATGAAGACTAACAGAGGCAGATGGATCACAGAACACATTGGGTTCATTGGGCTGAGAGGTCATAAGAAGAAACTATAGGGATAAGGACCAGAGTGTGACAAAGGGTGAGTATTCTGTAATGGGCCATTGTCAGAGACCAAGGAGGGGATGAGCTGCAGGGGCATCTGAGGGTGAAGAATTCCAGGAAGAGGCAGGAAGCTGGAGGCTCAGCTTGATGGAGCAGGGTGAGGCAGAGGGAGGCGAGGATGCTATGTGGGGTGATGTTTTTAGGGAGGTCACCATAGTCACCTGGCTAGTGGAGTGAAGCTGTATACCCTGCTAAAGGCACTTCTTTCTCCTTGGCCCCACAACCAGGTGGGATATCCAGAAATGCAGTTAAAGCCCTGGCAGTTGAGCATGCCGTCCATTTTTCCAGTGAAGTAGAGCATATAACATATAGGGAAGGGCATAGAACAGAGGGGTGTCTAGGAGCAATGTGGTAGGGAATTCAGGTCTCCCCTTTAAAGGCCCTCTTACTTTATACCACATCCCTCCCTGAATGTCAAGGGACTCACAGAGTCTGTGGTGTGCATGACAATGCTCCTCAGAGATACCCACTTTTTAATCTTTGACTCCATGGATGTGTGATTTGGCCCCAGGAACTCTGCAATGGGATTAAAGACATTGTTATAGAGAGCCAATCCTGGGTTGTGTAGGGACACCTAGATAATCTGAGGGGTCTTTCCAGAGGGAGGCAGTAGGGCTAGATCACAGGAGGAGAGTACAGTGGGAGTACAATCAGTGTGGGAAAGGAAAAGGTGGTTTGTGTCTGTAAAGCCAGTAGTGGGGAGGGCAAGCCCTGATGATGAATTCCAGGCAGCCTGGGCCTAGATTCTGATTCTCTCCTGCGCCTCCAGAAGGAACCAGCTTTGCTCACACCATGACTATAGCCTCGGTCTTCCTAAACTCTAAATGGACTTGGAGATCTTTAAGCCCTCCATAATGTGTTATAGGGGCCCTGGGTTTGGCACTGAAGAAAAGGATATTGACCTCATCCTCTGTGTTGCTGAGGACTCTGGATGTCCCTGGCAGTGACGCACAGAAGGCATCCGTGTGCAGAGAGGAAAGAACAGAGCTGAGAGGCCAGACAAAACAGTCTGGATGCAGGTGATTTGCTCAGTCTTAATTTGTTTAATTTCGTTGTTGTTGTTTTGAGACAGGATCTCACTATGTTACCCTGACTATCCTGGAACTCACTATGTAAATCAGGCTGGCCTTGAACTCACAAAGATCCACTCTCCCACTCCCCAGTACTGGTATTAAAGGCATGAGCCACCACATCTGACAACTTGCTCAGTTTTGAAGGCCATCTTGTATCTATCTGTCTTGGGTCTCCTGACATGGCCCTGTCCAGAGTGCTACCCTATGTGCTTCAGTTTCTTTGTGTGAGTGTGTGCAAGTGTGTGTCTGTGTGTGTGCGTGCAGTATGTGAGTCTGTGTGTGTGAGTGATTTGGGTATTTTGGTGCACATGTGTGTACAAATGCAAATGTGAACTTTCTGCATGTAGAGGTCAGAGGGCGCCATCACATGTCAGTCCTCAGACACCTCCCACATTGTGCTTGAGACAGGACTTCTCTTTGTTCTGGACATGGTCCTGGCTGGCTGACCTGCAAGCTTCCACGGATCCACTGTCTCCATTTTCTTTATCGTCATCACTGAGATTTACATGCACTCCCTTTTTTGTGTGGATACTGGGGAACTGAACTCAGGTCCTTTGGTGGGCTGAGTTGTCCCTCCAGCTCTGTCCCGTCAGCTTCTTTAAAGTATTTCTCTAACTTGCAACAAAAAAGCAGGTTGACTGAAGCAATGATCTCATCTTCTTTTTAATACAGGTGTCATGTCACATGACATCTCTACAAAATGCACGCCTCGTTTTCACTCTGTTCTACTTATCCTTATAGACATCATCCTGCGATTAGGACCTCATCCCCACCCCAGTGGCCTGGAATGATGAGCGGACTTTCCGGTCCATGAGGGGCTGGAGTGGGCGGTAGTTGTTCACCATCGCCTCTTCTTCCTCACCATGTCCAGAAAACAAGAGTGTGCGGAATGCCGACAGCTGGAATAGAGAGTAGCCAGAGTGAACTGAGACAAGCATGGAAGGATCCAGGTGCCAGGTGTCCCCCATGCCTTGTACAGTTCTCCTTCTACACTGAATCAGCAGTGTCTCTCTGTGACCAACAGAACACAGTATATGGACCAGTGACTCCAGAACATTCGTTAGAGGCACTGAAACTGCTACCCTTTTGGGATTGGTGACCCCATAGGCTTGACAGAACCCCAGTAGCTCTATAGAAAGGCCACAGAGTGGTACTGAGGCCCAGCTAACAGCCACTGAGTGAGCCACTTAGGTAGGGAAGGAGTCCTCTGGGTATGGTCTATGATGTGCCTTTTTCTGCTAATGCATACATTTACAACCCCCCCAATCCCCCACTGAATGCCTGTGATGAGATTGGGCAAGAACTCAGGCCTAAATTTGTATCACTTTTTTTCCAGGCACAGCCTGGCTGGAATATTTAACTGAGTGTCATCAGGACAATGATCACATCTGGGCCTCAAAGAATATGATGTATGCTAGCCCCATCAACACCCCAAGTGTGATCAATGGGGCCTTGTACTCGAAGGCTCTCATGGAAATAGAAAATCCTCTAGCAATTCAGGAACATCTAAAATATGCCAGCGGAGCTGGGGAAGTTGTTCAATTAGTTAAGCACTTGCCTTGAGTCTGAGCCTCAGGATGCATATAAAAAAGGCTGGCATGGGGCCAGGTGGTGGTGGCACACGCCTTTAGTCCCAGCACTCAGGAGGCAGAGGCAGGTGGATCCTCTGTGAGTTCGAGACCAGCCTGGTCTACAAGAGCTAGTTCCAGGACAGCCTCCAAAGCCACAGAGAAACCCTGTCTCAAAAAACCAAAAAGGAAAAAAAAAGGCTGGCACGATGGAGTACTCAAGTAATCCCAGGGTTGGGGAGGCAGAATCGGGGGATCCTGGGGCTAATCAGCCAGTCTAGCCTAATGGATGAGTTTCAGGCCAATGAGACACCCTGTCTCCAAACACAAGGTGAATGGTTCCTGAGGAATGGCACCAGAGGTTGACTTTAGACCTCCACAACACACACACAAGAGATGTGCCAGAGAATGGCACTCTGCTATGACACCTTGATGAAGAAGCAGGTAAAAATGGCCTCCTTTGGGACTGTGACTCAGCTACAGGGCTCACCTGGCTTGGGGCCACCTCAATGGGCATCTTCTGGATAATCCAGGTGACTGACTCAGCCAGTGGTGGGGTGGTGAGGGAGCCAGGGTATGTCCAGTAATCCCGACAGGCAGGCAACAGACAAGAAGGGTCAAAGGGGCCCACGGCCACCTGTGTATCCTGAGAACAAGAACCACAGCCCTGTCAGGGGTTCAGCACAGGAGGCTAGGAAGGAGCCAAGCCTCTGCATCTTACCACAGCTCTAATGGCCAAACAAGCATGCCGAATAACAGCTATGCAGCCACCATTGTCATATATGGAAGCAGAAAGAAAATGTAACTCTTTTTTAACAAGAAAGGGACTCCTACCAAATGGTTATATTTCTCCTTAAAGTTATACCTTTATATATACTTTGGCTGGGAAGACATATAAATGGGGGCTTTTTTGCCATTTTCAATTGTGTAATTTGGGGTAGTAAGGACATTCATGTTGTGTAGTCATCACCCACATTTATTTCCAGAACTTTCTCTGCCTCATTAAACACTGATTCCCATTCTTCCCTGACGTCTGGAAACCACAGTCTACTTTTTGGCTCCGAACCTGCAGACCCATGGAAGTCAATGTGTCTCCTTCTTATAGCCCTGGCTATCCTCAAACTCACAGAGTTCTGGGATTAAAGGCCTGCACTTCCATAACAGGCTGAGACAGGGTCTTGTATAGACCAGGGTGTCCTCCAAATCTCTATGTTAGGCAAAAATAATTCTGAACTCCTGATCCTCCTGCCTTCACCTCCTAAGTGCTGAAATTCCCAATGTGAGCCAGGATGTTCTGTGTGTCCTTCTGTGTATGGCCTGACCAAAAGCATCCACCGAGTGGCTAGGCTGTGTTTCATTTACATTCACCTATGTTGAACATTTGACCTGCTTCTCCTTTCTGGTTATCTTAAATAGTACTTGTGGAATGGGATGGGGTGGGAGCTGTTTGCTTCAGAGTCACTTTCAGTTCTCAGGGTCCATACCCGATACAAGATTGCTGCATCAGATGGACATTTTTTCTTTTAAGGACCCAAAAGTGTGTGTTTTCAACAGTAGCTGCACTGACAAGTCTTATAGTTTTAAAACACCTACCTGTCTCTCTCAAGCAGCCTTGCTTTAAAATGCTGCAGGACCCTCCCCCACCCAGCTTTCATGCTCTTCTCTCTCACAGGGAGCAGGTGGGACCAAGGGCCCCACAGCTGCTCCTGACAGACTGCTCAAGCTCTCTGGAGTCAGCCTGGCCTCCGCCTCAGGCCCTGTGTTCACAGTTCATGTTTGCTTGCTTCCTGGGTTTCATAAAGCCTTTCTGAGCTCCCATGGGACGTCACCATCCATTTGCTCATTCATGCATGCATTCACAAGTGTTTGTCTGAGCCGACAGTGAGCCCAACTTTGCCTCGGGTATTGAGGATACAGTTGCGGAAAAGTGGACAGAACTACTCCCTTCTGTGGAGCTCGCACAGAATAAATAAGTAAAGCATCAGCACTTTGTACTGGGGACTTTGCAATGGAGAAAAATAATAAATTAGAGGAGCAGGGTGAGATGGGAGGCAGTGGGTATTTTGAAAGGTGTGGTCCCCAAGGCCTAATGAGGTGACATCTGAGGAAAGACACAGAAAGCCATGAAGGAAGAGTTTGTGGCATGTGTATATCTGTTGCAAAGGTCCTGAGGCAGAAGCAGCCTGATGGACCTGAGCAACATCAAGAGTGTGGTGTGGTCAGAATTAATGAATGAGGTACAAAAGCAAAGAGGGCTGAAGGGATGGCTCAGTCAGGGTAGTGCATGCCTTGCAAGGATGAGGCCCTGAGCTCTATCCTCAGAACATATAAGAAAAAAAAAAAAAAAAAAAAAAAAAAAAAAAAAAAAAAAAAGATGGGCAGGAAGTGGGGAAGTGGAAACAGGCATCTCCCTGGGGCTTGCTGTCTGGCCAGACTCTGCCTCCAAAAGGTGGGCGGCACCTAACTAACAACACCTGAGGCCTCTGCATACACGTGCATAGGCACAAAGTCAGTATCAATTTAAAGAGGTGACAGAGGACAGAAGCCTGCAGAGAGGGAGAGACACCTTGCCTCAGCCCGGGACTGGGGATCCCTATATAAATCCACCTTGGCAGCAGGAGTTCCACCTGCTCATTGCCTGGGTATTGCTCATCATATCAAGACATCACCACTCAAGGGTGCAGAGACTGAGGGCCCTCTCCCCCATGAGCCTCCAGGGCCTAGTGGGCTCTAGGGACCTCAAGAAAGCAGGACCGAGACAATGACCTCCACATTGGTGAGGGTGAGAGACAGAGAAGACAGAGAAAATGAACCCAATCAAGACCCTTAGACAGTAATACTGAGTACTATGCAGGATGCCAGGGGTTCTGCTGATTAAGTCCCTAGCTAGAGGGTCCAGGGAGACCCCAAACCGCAGCTAGCCCATTCAGCCTGAGCCAGGACATTGTATTCTTGGCTATGGAACCACAGGTGAGTAGTCCAGTGCTGCAGCAAACCATCCTCAGGGATGCGCTTGCTGAACAGATGAGCAATAGAGCTGGGATTTGAGCCCAAGGCCGCCTGCCCCTCACCTCCTCCCTGGAGTCACGGTACTTCGAGCACTTTAAAGTTTGACAGGCCCCCTAAGGTAGAATTGCTCTCAGATCCCCTGCAGACAGCTCTGAGTCCAGCGATGCTGCTTGAGACATCCCTTCGTGTGCCACAGCCCCACCGACCCACCCCATCACAACCGTGGATAAGCCTGTGTGAGCCAGCCGTACTCTTCATTCACACCACAGCTGGGGCCCGGACCCAACCAGTTTATTTAAGACTGACACTGTGCCTATCTCACTTCCATGTGGATAACAAGGCCCTCCTTATATGTCCACTCTCAATAACCAAATTTCATAAATAGGGAAACTGGGGCTCTGAGAGATTAAGTCACTTGCTCAAAGCTACACAGTTTCCTGGCAGATCAAGGGCCTTGGACCCAGAACATCTTGACTGAAGATCTCCACCACACACCCCAAACCCCTAAAAGTCCTAAGCTTGTAGACGGAGAGCCAGGGACAAGGGGTCCTCAGAGTGTCTCCTACTCCTTAGTTTGAGGAGCCCTCCTTGGCTGGGCCTTTCATGTCTTAAGGTCCTTTTATGTTCTAGAGTCAGTGTTATTTTCAGGGGACTAGTGTGATTTGGGCTAGAACTACACCCCAGACCCCACGTCTGCCCTGTGGGGAAAGTAGCTCCAGAACCTTCCAAGGAAGGAAAACAGACCCCCTGAGTAAACAACACTCCCCAGTCAGCTCTTTTCTCTCCCACCCCGTGGGAGGCAGAGGCCAGCTGGGAAAACATCCCGCCTTCCAGCTTTGTTCTGGCTGTGAACCAGCAAGGAAGAGGGTGAGGAGCTGAGCGCCCAGTACCTTGGCCTTGAGGTGTTCCTGAACGGGTGGACAGAACAGTGGGGGTAGGAGCTCTGTCTCCATTCCAAGGGGCGTCTGGACCTCAACATCAAGAGGAGGCAAGTTGCAGATCAAACACTCCTGTGAGCTTTGAGGAAGGGGCGGCCACTATTTCCCGCAGGGCAGCTTTCACCATTGTTAAGACAGGTGGAAGCCTCTCTGTCCCCATGTCCCTATGTCTAATGGCCACCTTGCTTCCTTTTGCCTCACAATTCTTTGTTGTGGTACTGAATAAATAAACCTATCTCCCTGGAATTTCCATTTTCCATCAAAAGTCCCTTCTGGGTAGTTCTTAAAGAAAAGTGACACCATAACTCTGTCATTTTCTCAAGGCAGGCTACCACACCAAGGTATACAAAGAATGCCCAGCCACCTTCAGAATGAACTGGGGCCCTTCAACCAGCAGCCTGTGCGCCACCCAGGCTGCCTCCCTCTCCCCAAGTCTGCTCTGTATTTGGTGACAGTTAAAGCTCCTTCTCAGGTGTATGCTGGTGGTGCACTGGCCTGTGTTTGCACATGCAGCAGGTAGACACTTGGGTCTGTGTTATCACTACTGGACACCAAGCCTGAGCAAAGCAAGAACAAATATGAGTTCAAGCTGGCATTCCCCAGATGGCTGGACTTGGAATCCAGCGGGGGGGGGGGGGATTCACTGAGGGGGAAATGGGCAGTGATGGACAAAGAGCATATCACTCCTCCTCCTGAGAAAGAATTTCAGGTATCCCAAGGATGACCTTGAACTTCTGATCTTCCTGCTTCCACCTCTCAATATTGCAGCTATCTCGCACCACACCCAGTTTATGTCGGTGCCGGGGATTGAACCCAGGGCTTCATGCATGCTCAGCGAGCTCTCTATCAACTGAGCTACATCTGAGTTCTCTGTCATGTTTGTTTCTGAAGACTCTTATTGTGTAACCCAGGCTAGCCTGGAACTCATTATGTAGTCCAAGCTGGCTTTGAGTTTTTGGCAGTTCTCTCGCCTCAGCCTTCTCAAGTGCTGGATTATAGGCATACACCAAAACTCTCCGTGCTCAGAGGGAAAGCAAGCTTCCAAATTCATCTCGTGACAAGAGCCTTAGGACTGACCCTTCGCTTCTCTTTCTAGGACCAGAGTGTCACACCCTCTGCCAAAAAAACTCTGAATTTTCCTGAGTGAGTCGTTGCTCTGGGAACTTCAGTGTCGCTTTGCTGGTTTCAAGCTTGTTACCTTGTGTTTCACTCCTGGCAAGACGTCCACCAGCCTCTGCAGAGCCTCATGCTGGGCCCCGAGCTGCACAGCACAGACACATGAGTGTTAGTTAGCCTGGAAGGCAGCAGACAGTGAAAACATACCTCGCTTCCAGGGGACAGTGTGCAAAGGGCCATTCTTTTTTGTTTGTCTTGTTTTTTTTTTTTTTCCACATAACATTTTTATTGATTCTCTGGGTGATTCACATCATGCACCCTGATCACAATTCCTTCCAGGTCCTTCCCCTACTTGGGACCTCTCTCCAAAGAAGTAAAATAATAATAATAATAATAATAATAATAATAATAATAATAATTCTACTTTGTGGTACCAATACACTCACTGTGGCATGGTCAAATTCTCAGTGGCCTGCCCCTTGAACAGAACCGAGTCCTTCCCCTCCCACACCTCCTCCATGAGCCACCAACTGTGGAGAGCTACTTTTCAGCATCCCATCTCACTTTTTAAGAGTTCTCTTGGGTGCTTTGCTGTCTAGGCTATTACTCTGGGGTGGGAGGTAGGAGTGGGGCTGTCACAGAAGCCTTCCATGTCCCTCCCAGCAAAAGGTCATTCTTGATGACCAAACCCAGCCATTTTCAGTGGGAGGGTCATGCCCAGCAGATGTTACCTTCAGAAACACTCCGATCACCGCCAGCCCATTCTCCCCAACGGTGGCTTCCTTGTAATTTTCATATTTCATGGAATTCCAGTGAACTAAATGGAGCTGAAACAGAGTGGAAAAAGAATGTTAATGTTTGTCATGCCGTAGAAATAACAGTCATTCCACTCTGTCCAGCACACCCTTGGGTCACGTCAATGTCATGTCAATACACAGGGTGCTAGTGGCCAGAGCCCTTGGAGCTCCTTAAACACAGGTGGCAAGAGCTTCACAGCACCAAAAGGAGTGAGGGAGAAGACTTGCTTTAGTTTCTCTTCCTGTGGTTGTGAAACAACACCCTAACAAACACAACTGAAAAGAGAAAGGGTTTATTTCAGTTCGTTATTGAAGGTAACTGTCCACCATGGTGGGGAAGTCAAGGCAGCGGGAGCTTGAGGTAGCTGCTCACTATCACGTCCACAATCAGAAGAGAGGATCAGTGAATGCATTTATCACCTTTTCTCTACTTATACATCCTGGACTTCCCCCCAGGGCATGTTCCCGCCCACAATCCGTAAGAGTTGTGGTGGTTTGAATGAGAATGCCCACCATGGACTCACGTATTTATTGTTTGTTTTTTTTTGAGACTGTGAAACATTGTTGGCTGTCCCGGAACTCACTCTGTAGACCAGGCCGGCCTTGAACTCACAGAGATTCACCTGCCTCTGACTCTGAGTACTGGGATTAAAGATGTGTGCCACCATCGCCTAGTCATCATGGTGTTTTATCACAGCAACAGAAAAGTAATGAAGACAGAGGGCTTCTCACACCAATGAGGATAATCAAAATAATCCCCATCTGTCAATTTAACAGTTACCAGTAGCTGTCACAAGTGTTTTGAGTTGGCAAGACAGAAATGAGCCGTTTGATCATTTGTACCTGTGAGTCACTTGGAACAAGGGTCACCAGATGAGACACAGGACTGTTCAGTGTTCAGCATTGAACAATTTCTCAGTGAGATAAGTCCTCAATGTGCATCTGGCACCTGATCTTGAACTCTGCCTTGTCATTTTCTGGATGTTGGATCTCACAGGGTGATGTATTTGCAAGATGATGGGAATGGATGGAGAAAAGGGGGTCAGGGAGGAGGGAAGAAGCCCTGTCATCTGGGAACCATGGGCCCTGGCTGGGAATTGTAGTGATAGGACTGTGACTTTACCTAGGGGGCATCTGAGTATGTGTTCAGTTGTCCCTTCTCACCCACGGATTCTACAACCATTGGACTAACAACAGACAAACTATTTGGAATAAAAATGCTACGTCAGTGCTTTTCTTGATTTTCTTGGAATGAAACAAATAGCAACAGCATGTGTCACTCACAGTGTGCTGGTAACTTAGAGGTGAGGATAGAAGTATCAGAAGGATGTGTGTGGGTTCCATGCACACATGATAGCTTTGTCAGAAGGCATTCCAGAGCCCCTTGGATACAGCAGGGGGCACATGTGTCCCCTAAACACAGGGCTGTGGTAGAGGCATTCTTAACTGTGCCCAACCATGAGCCCTCAGGAACAAGAACCAGCAAGCCCTTGGCATCATGGTCAGCAAGCTCTGCCGGTTGCCATCTAGGACCCCTGCTGGAAGCTCTGGGTCCTCACTCCCAGGACGCATGGATGCTCCTAGCCTGGGATCTGGGATCTAGGACCAGCAGGGTAGACTTGCCATGTCTGCTTGAGACTTTCTAGAATACAACTCCAGATCTCAGAGATGGAGTCCTCATTTCTGTCAGGCCTCTTGGCTGAGGGTCTTAGTCTGTAGACCCTGGCTGGCCTCTATTTGTGCTGGGGCCTTCCTTCCTCCCTCTCACCTCCACATGGTCACAAGGAGTGTCTGGGCATGAAGCAAGGAGGCTGGGTAAGACCCAAGATCTCTCATCTTAATCAGCTATGTTTCAACCATAGGGGCCTTCACTAGACATGTCTGTGCACAAAAACAAGGTTCCAGCTAGAGAGCTGTGAGGAAGGATTGCTGCTGGATGAGGCGAGAACACTGTGCGCCCTCTAGTGGCAATGTTTGCCAGTTGAGAATAAACAAGTACTGGACTTCATCTGTGGCTTTGGCTAGACCCTGGTTCACTTCTACAACCAGAAAGCGTTGAAATAGAAAGCCAAAATGTTGAATGTATACCCAGGCTGGCAGAGGAAAGCAGAGGGATGGGAGGAGGAGGAGGAGGAACAGAGATGAGAGGGACAGTGTTGCCTAGAGAGGAGGGGGTAGATGGAGGACTGACAAGGTGAATAAGACAAATTGGCCATTACAGAGCTGAGGTAGAAACCTCATGGTTTATCATCACATGAACCTCTCCATTTTCCTGTGTGTTGGAAATTTTTCATGATATAATGTTGGGAGGTTGCCAGGCACTGCCTATTGCCTGACACAACTTCAGAGCCAATGCCTACTTTTCTGTGGTGATCCCACTTTGGGATATTGAAGATATGGCCTTTGAGAAGATGATCTCTGGCTGGGGGTGTGGCTCAAGGATGGGTTTCATCCCCAGTTCTGAGGGGTAGGGGAATAGGGAAAAGAGGAGGTGGGGGGATAAGGGGAGGAGGAGGAGGGAGAAAGAGGAAAGGAGGAGGGAGAGAAAGGGGAGGAGGAGGAGGAGGAAGGAGAGTAGAGGAAGGGGAGAGGAGATCCTACTGTGGAAATTTTTATTCTAGGTGGACATGAGGTCACTAGTCCTTAAGTGCAGCGAGCTCACAGCTGAGTGCTGTGAATTTCACTGACTTACATGACCTCTCAGAACCTCTAGCTCTTCTTGTCAACAGAGCACCTATAGCACCCACCCTCCACCCCAGGACAAGGTGGCAATGATTAAGTGGGTCAAGATGCTTTTATTGTTCTAATTGGCACATGGGAAGCCTCAGGTCCCTGGAAATCCTTTAGGTCTGGAGACTTTGTGTGTGTGTGTGTGTGTGTGTGTGTGTGTGTGTGTGTGTGTCTTTGGGAGGGTGTGTGTGTCTTTGGGAGGGTGTGTGTGTGTCTTTGGGAGGGTGTGTGTGTGTGTGACGGACGGACTGGTCACCCTGTGGTAGCCCTGGCATAGAAAGCACCCATATGTGTGCTGTTTCATGACCTTTACGAACCTCAGCCGGGTATGCATGGCCGTCCACCATGTGCTCCGAGCCCCACTCATCCGTTGCTCCCCAGTGGAAATGAAACTGCTTCAGCCTGTAGTGGTTTCCCAGTGGCCCACCGCTGATCCCTGGAAACAAGACAAGGGATACTTGTGCCTGGGCTATGTGTGGGCTCCACATTGCCTACATGTGTGTGGGGGGAGGGAATGGACACATTCTATCCCCAAGAGATTTTTGTGCTGCTGAAACAGGGAGGTCTGTGAAAGGTGGACCTGGCTTGGTTTTGGTCACCTCTATCCTAGAGTGGTGCCGGAGACAGCAGGTTCATAGGTTCATAGTAAACTCTAGGATAGATGAAGACCAAGTCTGCATTCAGCCACTAGATGGCGGCAAGGATCTTGAGTCCCTGTAAGTGGTGCTGCACAGACTCAGGGAGGGGTTTCTGAGATGTGCTAATCCAACAAGGATTTCCAAGAGTTCCTTTTCTTCTGAGACAGGGTATCATGCAGCTCAGGATGGCACTGAATTCCATATATATCTAGGATGACTTTGAACTTGTGATCCTCTCGCCTCTACCTCCTGAGTTCTGGGATTACATTATACCTGGTTTTCTGCCATTCTGGGAATGGACAAAGTCAACAGTCCATCGTAGGGCTGGGAGACCACTTAACAAGCTCCAGGTGACTAATAACATTTCTAACTGTTGGTGAGACATTTCCATTCAGTTTTCAGGAGCAATGCTGCTCCTTAGCTTTCTCTCAGAATCATGCTTAGCAAGCTTTCTTGTACAGACTAGGGCCATCTGTCCAGGGAATGGTACCACCCACAGTGGGCTGGACACTCTCACATCAGTTAACCATCAAAGGCAATCCCCCTTGGACCACAGGCCAATTTAATCTGAGCAATCCTTCTATTGACACTCCCTTCTTAGGTGACTCTAGGGTATGTCAAAAGCGAACCAGAACACTGAGTGGCAAATGGGGACAATGCCATGTTGAATGAAAGATGCTATTGAGCACTGACTTCCACAAGCTGATGGGGTGTGCTTGCTTTCCCTGTGAAAACAATTTGCAGACAGTAGCACTACACTACACACTATAGACAGAGGTAGGGACAGGCCTGGGCTGGCACAATCTTACTATCTCTTTACTCCAAAACAAGACGGTTACTCTAGAGTGTCATCAGTCCCATCCAGTTTTAAAACTTGTGCTATTATCACCTAACTCCAGATAAGAGGATATAGATCTGAGTATAGTGGCACACATCTTTAATCCTAGCACTCAGGAGGCAGAGTTAGGCAGATCTCTGTGAGTTCAAGGCCAGCCTGGTCTATAAAAAGAGCCTCAGGACAGCTGGGGCTATTACACAGAGAAACCCTGTCTTAAAAAACCAAACTGGTGGGGCATTGGTAGTGCACACCTTTAATCCCAGCACTCAGGAGGCAGAGGCAGGCAGATCGCTGTGAGTTCGAGGCCGGCCTGGTCTCCAGAGCGAGTGCCAGGATAGGCTCCCAAACCACACAGAGAAAACCCGTCTTTAAAAAACAAAAAAAAAAAAAAAAAAACAAAAAAAAAAAAAAACCCAAAAAGCAAGGTAGATGGCTCTTGAGGAACAACACCTGATTTGAAAAGGTTATCCTCAGGCTCCTACATGTACACACATGTACATAATATACACACTGCTGAATTATATCTGAAATTTTCTTGGGGGGGGTTGAGCCAGGGTTTCTTTGTGGCTTTGGAGGCTGTCGTGGAACTAGTTATTGTAGACCAGGCTAGTCTCCAACTCACAGAGATCCACCTGCCTCTGCCTCCTGAGTGCTAGGATTACAAGTGTGCTCCACCACTGCATAGCTATATCTGGAATTTTTAATGCATAGAAAACAGCCTTCTCTCCGGTGAATGACAGTGTGTCTGATCAGTGGGTGCCAATTATACACTGGGTATTGAGGCTCTGGTCTGAAGATGAAAGGGTCCAAAATCTATGATGGAGTTTGCACTCCAGGATTCTGTTTGGTTTTCTTGGGTTTCTACAAATGCAAAAGGTGCAGCTTTCACTGGAGGTCTGATGACATGTTGGGGTCTCTAAAAAAAAAAAGATGATGATACCAAAGGATGAAGTCTGAACCCGGGAGCAGCTGGATGTCTGCCAGGCCCCCACAACAATCCTTGTAGCTAAGTCTAAAGATCATCCTAGCCCAACTGGCTCCACATTCTCCCTGATGACATCAGAAGACCCTTTGCAGAGTAGACCTTCTGTATGCTGTGAATATATGTTTCTCTTATTGGTTGATGAATATAGCTGTTTCAGTCAATGGACAGAGCCAGGAGGGACTACCAGACTAGGAGAATTCTGGGAAGAGGAACACAGAGTGAGTCTCTTGAGAGACACCATGTAGCTGACAAGAAAGCAAGAGGTTTGGGAATCACCGGTAAGACAAGACTATGTGGAGATACACAGATTAATAGAAATGGGTTCATAATTAAGAGAGAGCTAGCCAGTAAAAAGCCTGAGCCATTGGCCAAACAGTTTATAATATAAGCCTCTATGTGTTTATTTGAGACTGACTGAACAGCTATAGGACTGGGCAGGACAGAAACTTTCATCTATATAAGCCCTCTGAATTGGAGGTCCTATCTGCCTTAGTGAAACATGGCAGTTCCTCAAAGGTGGGTAGCCTCATGAGGGGCAGTCCTGAAGGATGCTGGGGTCCCATCTAGGACAGGAAGTGATGACCCTTCTCTCATAACAAGCAGGAGGCATCATTTATGTCTGAACAAGGAGCTTGCTAGTTCTATGGGGGTCACACAAGCTCACAGAAAAACAAACCCAAAGGCTGAAGTACACCAAACAAAAATAAGGAAAGGCCAGGCATGACCATGCACACACCTAATCTCAGCACTTTGGAGGCAGAGGCAGGGAGATCTCTATGAGTTCAAAGACAGCCTGGACTACATAGCGAGTTCTAGGCTGGCCAGGGCTACATAATGAGATCCTGTCTGGAAAAAAGACAAGGGTGTTTGAGGACAGAGAAGGCTCAGTGGAAAGGCAGGTGGGGTTTCAATGTCTCCCAGCAAAGGAAAGTAACCACATAACTTGTACTGGGCAGGAGCAGCTCCAGGGAAGCAAAGTGGGAGAGAAGCCAGGAATCTGGGGATCTCTGGGGACTCAGGACTTGGAGCCTTTTTGAGCCAGGTGCACTGTGATTACAGTGCAGTCTCATCATCCACAAATGTGCACACACAGAGGAGCAGCCTTGAGCCCTTTCAAGTTGGAACAGAAAATTCTCACTGTTACAGTGCTTCCAAAATTAGCCCTGACAGCAGAGGCAGCCACAGCAAAGCGGCAAGTAATGCTTATTTAAGGACTGGAAAGGCATCCTTCATGGCTCACTCTGCTGTCTGGGTCTGCAGGCCCAAGGGCTCTAGCTGGAACCCTTCTACAGATACGATCTGGGCCTGCCTAGCTCTTCATTCCTTCCGGTTTTGGTTTCTCTATTCAATAGTAGAGTCCCAGTAAGGACTGAGTCCCATGGGAGATATACTGTCCAGCATGCAGGAAGCCTTCCAAGGAAACAGCTGTGTGTATGGGGTAAGACAGCTGGGAGCAAGTGTCACTGGCCAAATCTACATGTCCCGGTATTTTGTTTTCTGGTCTCCAGCACTTGTAGCTGTCAGTAGTGAACACACTGTGAGGTGACTGAATGACAAACTATGTATCGGACACTGTGTAGGGAACTGGGTATTTCCCAAGGGACAGGCACTGGAAGCCCAATGTTGAGATGAGGACACAGGGACACAGACTAGAGCCAGGCTTCTATTACAATGATGAACAGTGTGATAATAAACAACTTGGGGAGGAAAGGGTTTATTTCACTTCCATTTCCATATCATAATCCATCACTGAAGGAAGTCAGGGCAGGAACTCAAACAGGGCAGGATCCTGGGGGCAGAAGCTGATGCAGAGGCCATAGAGGGATGCTGCTTACTGGCTTGCTCTCCATGGCCTGCTCAGCCTGCTTTCTTTTCTTTTTTTTTATTATTTATTATGGATACAACATTCTGCTTCCATGTATATCTGCACACCAGAAGAGGGCACCAGATCTCATTACAGATGGTTGTGAGCCACCATGTTGTTGCTGGGAATTGAACTCAGGACCTCTGGAAGAGCAGTCAGTGCTCTTAACCTCTGAGCCATCTCTCCAGCCCACTCAGCCTGCTTTCTTATAGAACCCAGGACTATCTCAGTCCAGGGTGTGACCACACCCACAATCATCAATCAAGAAAGTGTACCAGGCCAATCTGGTGAAGACATTTTCTCAATTGAGTTTTTTCCTTCTAAAAGGAGTCTAGGTTATGTCAGGATTACATAGAACTAACCAACACACAGAAACTTCAGGTACCAGTTTCAGATGACCTGTTGACCCCAGATCCTGTGGAACATTTCAACCATTGACATTGGTTGCATAGTTTAAAGCTAAGTTCCTTTCCTTGGAGGTAAGGAAGTTGAGATAAGGCTTCAGAATCAGATAAAATAATGTATAACTGACTTGTCACAGTGATAACACAGTGACTAATTTAAAGAAGAAGCAAGCCGAGTCTTGGGAAAGCCTTTTGCTTGCCAACCTCAGCCCCCAAGACTGCCAGCAGCCAAGTTTGTCTACTGAGGCCTGATCATCCATCACCCTGTGTTCTCTGAGAGCAGGTACATCTGAGATAACGGAGATAAAATTAGGTGATTACATCAGTCAGAGTCAGACTCTCCAACTAAAATAACAAGTGACATTCAAGGCCAAAAGTGCACAGTGATGGCTGGTCTCCCCTGGTACAACAGTTGCTGTTAATAGCCACCTATTTGTAATTCAGGGCTTTCCCCAGAATAGTGTGGGCTTTTGGCAGGAACAGCAGCTGCTTTGGGGCTTAAAATTAGCATAAGAGAAGCTTGGGAGACTCTTGTTAGTCAGAACCATGAACAACAGAGGATCTCGAAGAGCACATTCCAGTGTCAGCCCCAAATTTAACCAGTTGCCAACCAGTGAAGTCCAAGGCCAAAAGGCTTCTCTGTTCCTAATGCTCTCTAGGTGAGGACAAGCCACAGCTGGCCAACAGCTGTTGGCAGTGCTGAAAGA